TCTAGTTATTTTTGTCCCTGTTTTCTTGCATCTGTGACACATCACATAGGAAACTAGCTCAAACAGCTGAAAATGATGATCTGCCAAGCACGGGGTGGTATAACTGTCAGTGAGGTATAGTAATGCACATCTGGAAATACTTTGTCCCATAGAACAATAAAATATTTTAGGATTTCATTCAGAATTAATTCAATTCTTAGGATTTGTTATTAGGATTTTAAAATGGTACAACTCCAAAGATATGTTGCTCAATATCGCTGCATGTTGGAGAAGCTTTAGTTTGATTCTGATATTCCTTATCAAACTATTTGTCTTCCTCCATTTGCGGATCAATTTCTTTTTAAATAGAAACATTTCCTTCTCTAAAAAAAAACAAATAATAATAACACTGTATTTTTCTTTACTATTCTTAGAATTAATGCATCTAAAGCATTGTTTCTGATGATATGATTTTTTTCCCCCAGGTAGTGGAGGACTGCTACGATATTTTAAAGGAGTATGGCTTCCGCTTTGTGAGAAGAGGACCTATCTTTGTGAAGGGAAAAGGGGAATTGCTCACTTTTTTTCTTAAAGGAAGAGAAAAACAGGGCTCATTTATTAATGCTTCATCTGTCACTCTACCACACCAAGTGGTAGATGGTTAAAGTTCTCACTTAAGACAAACACTCCCTGTTCCCATCGTTTGGATATTTAAATGCTGCAATGTGCAGGAAAAAAAGTTTAAGAAGAAAAAGTAGTTAGGTTTTAATGTACATTGAAGCATAGAAATTCCTAAATTGTTCTTTTGTATGTATCTCATTACTGAATTGGGTTGTTTACTTTGAAAATACTGCAAAATGGATAGCCAGATAATGTTTTGTGTTGAATGAATCTAAAATTGAGAGACATTTTTTCATAGCAATATTAAACAGAAAATAGGTTTCTGTTATGTTTATAGTTTAAGGAAATTTTTCAGCACACTGTTTCAAACTACTTTTTATTATCTCTAACCTTTTGTTTTTTTAGGGTTATTATGATTAATGGAGTATTAACACATACACACATACGTTTTTGCTGCGTTAGACCAGAGGTACCTTATATTTTCCCAGTATTCAATCTTATACAAATGGTTGATCTGTAGACATAATAGTGCATTTAATGTTTAAATGTTTAGATTGGTAGAGAAATTTGCTTTCAGTTCTTGTAATTAAAGCAGTGAACATGTTTAAAACAGTCTACATGAGGACTTGGACATTTTTTTTTTATATATTGCTCAGGTCAGTGATGAGCTATAAGTCATGTGTTTTTGTAGATAGAATCCTAGCTGGTTTTTTTTAATGCGTCATGGACAATTTCTCTGTGGATCTATTTGAATTATGAAAAATAACAAAGTCAAAGAGCATACAGGAATATGTAGTTGTGCTAAAAAGGTGTACGTGGGAAACATGACCTATAAACCTGTATAAGTTAATCCACCAATATTAAGGAAAATCTGCCTGTGTTTAAAAAAACTTTTGTGAAGTTAATAAAATATTGTGATTATCTAAGGGCTGAAATACTTTCTCATCAAATCCCTAACATCTAGTCATCACAAATAATGCATTATTGTTAGGCAGGAACCCAAATGTGTACCACATAAGCTACATAATGTCTGAATATTTTCCTTTCAATCTATCAATTCTGAGTAATAATTACATCTTAATATTAAATGCAGCATACCAAAAATGGTTAAAAGCTGATTTAAATTTCAATGAAAATGTACAAGTATACACTGCATGAAAAGTGGGATTTTCGTCAATATGCGGCACTGTAGATTGTCGTTGAAGTTCAGTTAAAGGCAGTGTTGTGGGAAAATTTATATCTTTCTCCTATTATATATTAATATTCATATTTACTCACTATAAAAGTTTTCACTCAGTCTGTTTCTCTCTCAAGGCCACACCATTCCCTGCAGAATGTTGTTTGTAGACCAGACATTGCTTCTTCCCATAACAATCCAGATTCTTTCTCAAGGTTTATTCATAACATGTTACTGTTAACCAAAGTGTGTGTAATTTGTTATGACTCTGACGGCTTTCCATCGTTGTAACTAGGGGTGAACGAACCCTGCCCAGATCAGAACAGAGCAGAATGCTGTGCCATGATGACTGTTCTCTCTTTGCAAAGATCTGAATAAATGTGCCGACTGAGTGAAATCCATCGATCTCCGTTTATTTAACTAGGATGAATAGTTGAATACTTTTTTCCCACGACAATTTGGCGTTGTCAAGGCAGTTCTCTTTGACTGATTTTTTCCGAGGACAGCGATTGTCAGAAGTGTCAGGTACCACCTGGAGGAAGCAGTCTTCCAGCCTCAATACCCTGGTTAGAAGGTTAAGGGAGTGAGGACTTCTGACATCGAGGTCCCTGGAGGTCAGCAGGAGGATCAAAACGAACCATTTTTTTGAGACGGTGAGATGATCTTTTGTCGGCACAGTTTAAATTAAATTTCAAAAACTAAATCACAAAACAACAGATTGTTAACAGATTTAAAGATTACTAGAAAGCAAATACTGGAATATTAGCTCAAACAAAGTCCTCTTCTTCTCCATTAATATTATAATCTAGCAAGAAACTAACTAAATTAAAGATTAATAGGTAAATCATTTTAATGCACTTAAATTAGTATAATACTAAAGATTATACATATGAAATAACAGATAATTTTTGTTTTGGGGAGCAGAAAGGCAATTCAGGTTTTGTTCCATCTGTGAACCAAAAGACCTCGCATAGGAACGTGAGGCTCTCTCTAAGGGTGAGAGGAAGATTTGGTGAATGTAGCTGCAGCTAAAAGGCTCCAGTC